ATAGTTTTTCTGTCTTCTTTTTCATTTTTCTTGCTTTTTTCTTTTTCCTTTCTCTCTCTTTTCTTCATTCCCTATTTTTACATTTTTTGTCTTTTTACATTTTTTGTCTTTTTACATTTTTTGTCTTTTTACATTTTTTGTCTTTTTACATTTTTCTTTTTCCCTTTATTTTTTAATTTTTCTATTACACTCTCTTTTTTCTTTATTTTTCTTTTTTTCTTCTCGCCTTTCTCTTTTTCTCTTTTCGATTTTGTTTTTCTCTTCTTGATTTTGTTTTTTTCATTTCTGTCTTTTTCGTTTCTTTTCTCATTTTCTCTTCTCGATTTTGCTTATTTTTCTCTTCTCGATTTTGCTCATTTTTCTCTTCTCGATTTTGCTCATTTTTCTCTTCTCGATTTTGCTCATTTTTCTCTTCTCGATTTTGCTTATTTTTTTCTTCTCTCTTTTTCGTTTCTTTTCTCTTTTCGTTCTTTCTCTTTTTCTTCTTTCTTTTTCACTCTTTTTATTCTCTCTTCTCGTTTTTTTTTCCGTGCGTTCCTCCGTTCATTTGCATGGATTTCGGATTTCTTTCCATATTAGATTTCAACCTCTGTTCGTTTCATGTAATCATTATCCCCCCCCATTCTCTCTTTCCCTATCCACCACTATCCCCATTCCTCCCCCGTCTCCTTTAGTATATATGTCTAACCATTTCTAAACACCAGCAAAAAAAAAAAAATGTAATGAAAATCAGAAAATAAAAATGTACTAGAAAGAATCTTTAAATCTTTTTTCTCTGCCATAACGGAATTAGGTTGACCATTTTGTAAGAAATCGGTTAACCATGAAGAACCGATTGCTTAAGAAACTGCATCAACCTTGTGTCTTCATTTCATTCCTACAAGCAACCGAGTGCCCACTGTCGCTGGTTCGATCAACCTTTCGCTATGGTAGTAGGTTCGATCCTTATTAGCTGACCCATTAATGTAACGCTGTGCCAGGCCATGTTAAGATGATTTGTTTATAGATTAAACTATTATTTATTTTTTCTTGATACTTAAAGGACGTTATTTCAGTCCAGTGTAAAAACGGACGAAACATAATTTCGAATGCTTTTTTTAAGACTGGTCTGCCATTCCAAATACGAAGATTGGCGTAACACAATCTTCTTACTCTTTTTAAGCTTTTATTAAGACGTTAACCTCGAGAGGTCAGTTAAGAAATTTGACTCCAAACGCCAACTTTATAATAGCCAAATTATGCAATAGCAGTTTCTTTTTCAAATACTTCATCTATGGGTTATATTTCCGTTAAATATTTCCCATAAAAGTTTGTTTCTAGTTGCCATACGATGTTTCTGCCTTGCCTTAGACGCCAGGTATCAGTTATTTGAGTTAAAAACGACAAAAAAACTCGCTGTTGTAGCCTTGATTGAAAAACCGCAAAAAACAAGATAATTCGTCAATGTGTTTTCGGTACGCCCAACATGTTTAAAAAATAATAAAATTGAAACGGCTTTGTAGGAACGTTCAACTTGAAATAATTTAAAACTTTCCCCGTTTTACAGCGCCCCACACCTGTATTGATTTCTGTTTTCCTCTTCCATATCTAGTGACAATAACACACAAACACACACACAATTTTACTGGAAATGTCTTGTAAAGACTACACCAGTATATAAGATCAAAAATGGGTGGAAATGATGAAGAACCGATTGGGCTACGCCTGTCTTCTAAAAGCGAACGATGTGACTGCGAACAATAACCAGAAGTCCATAACATCTCTACAAGCCAGGCTTCGTGCAAAAAAAAAAAAAAAAAATGAATAAAAAAAGAAACAAATAATTTATTATGTTTCTATATTTCTGAGATGAGATATTATGTACACTATTTACATTATTCGGACTATTGTCCTCATCTTTGTTGCCATATTTATTACAACGTTTCGGCCTTTCAGTATCTGTCTATATTTCTGAGATGAGGTATTATGTACACTATTTACATTATTCAGACTATTCTCCCCATCTTTGTCACCATATTTATTACAACGTTCCGGCCTTTTAGTATCTGTCTATATTTCTGAGATGAGGTATTATGTACACTATTTACATTATACGGACTATTTTCCTCATCTTTGTTGCCATATTTATCACAACGTTTCGGCCTTTCAGTATCTGTCTATATTTCTGAGATGAGGTATTATGTACACTATTTACATTATTCGGACTATTGTCCTCATCTTTGTCGCAATATTTATTACAACGTTTCGACCGTTGCACACTCCGGCCTTCTTCAGATGGTTGGAATGTCGAACTGAACCCTTTATTTCGCTCACTGGGGTAGACTGTTCTAGTTCCACGTGCCATGTTTAATGGATATCAGTTATCAGTTATCTCCTGTTAATTTCCCTCCGAAAGTTCTCCACTGCCTTAGCCGAGTATTGAACTCACACTCTTTGGGTCCTGTTACTGGATCTAACTAAAGCCTTTATCCACTGTGCCATGTGTCCTTGAGGACTAGAACAGTCTACCCAAGTGAGCGAAATAAAGGGTTCAGTTCGACATTCCAACCACCTGAAGAATGCCGGAGCGTACAACGGCCGAAACGTTGTAATACATATGGCGACAAAGATGAGGACAATAGTACGAATAATGTAAATAGTGTAAATAATTTATTAAAAATTATAAGTAAAAGAAAAAATAATAGCAGTAGCAGTAATAGTAGTGGCAGTAGTAGTAATAACAATAGTAATAATAATTGAAATAATCATTATCGCTAAGTTAAGCTTAGTCATGTAAAGGACTACGTTATAAATCGGGGATTGATTTGTGCCGCACTTTTAAATGGAAAATCAACACTTGAATTTGTTTTCCTGCCTCCAAGAAATAATTACATCAACTACGAAGTTGTCACCATATATGCATAGGTATTTATTTACTTAGCTTGATTTCGTTGGACACAAGGTGAAATTAGTGATAGGAAGATTGAGTTGCGCCAGATTTGAATTAGTAAAAGTTTGACATGTTTAACAAAGTATGTGACTGCTATCGTTATTAGTCTTTTTCACTTTTGTATGACAGTAACGAGAGAGTTGAGTGAGAGTCAGATATAAATAGAGAGAGTGGGATAGAGAGAAAGAGAGAGTTTGTGTGTGAGAGACGGAGTGAAATAGATATACGGAGAGTGAGTGAGATAGAAAAAAAAAGAGGGTGAGATAGAGAGTGGGTGAGAGAGCGAGAAATAGATAGTGAGAAATACAAAGTGAGTGAGATAGAGAAAAATAGTATGAGATAAAGAGAACTAGAGAGAGAGAGAGAGAGAGCATTCACTTTATTGCCAATTGATTCATAATCGTTCAAATATTTGGCGAACTTCATTTTGAACGTTTTCTTTTCCGTGTCTATAAACGAAGGAGGGTGGGTAAAAAAAAAAAAAAAGGACATTTCTACGTTTATTTATTTATAGCAATATCATCGATTTGATTGAAGCAAAATTTGTTAGGGGCGTGGCGTTTTTTGTCGGACGTATTCTTTCAATTCTTCATCTTCTCCCTTGATTCAATTTCTCTTATGAAATATGTCCTCCTCTTGTCACTCACGAGATTCAACACCACCACCACTGATTCCGAAAAAAAAAAAATCCAGGAGGTCTTGAAAGCCGCGCATGCGTAGTTCCGCTTGCCGTTGTCCGTGTTTTTCAATAGAATTCAAAATAAAATTTCTGACGTACCACGACGAAAAAAAAAAGAAGTTCATTCATGTCATCTTTTGTTGTGGTCGAAACGTATTTTTTCTTTCACTTTTAAAAATAATCTACATTACAGATTATAATACTAACATTGTTTATAACGTCATAATAATACGGAAATAATAAAATAATAATGATAATACAAATTCCTTCATTCATGTAATTTTTGTTGTGGCCGAAATGTAGAAGACGAACTCTTCTTTTTTTAAATAATATATAACACAATAATAATAATATATAATTATGATAACATAATAATAATAATACTAATAATGATAGCATACTGATAATATCAGTAATAATGAGAATAATAACAATGATAGTAATAATGAGAATAATAACAGTCATAATAAACAAATAAAAATACAAGGAGTCTTTTTTTTTCTAACTTATTTAAGACGAACATCTCACGGCATTGTCATATGACCAATTGAGTTCGATTCTTATTGAATGTCTCGGGTCTTAACTTTTATCAGTGCTTCGCCTAGGATCAGTCGGCAACAAGTTCTTTTGGCAGACCATTACCATTCTTGTCTGAAAGTATTTCCTTCTCCGTAGGATTTAGTCTTGTGTTGTACGTAACCGATCAGATATTAAGAATCTATTTATTTAATCAGGAATATTTCAATTTATATCTATTACCTATCAGCATTTCTTTCATGTATATCTAAAATATAATTATAAACTATATTTTTCGAAAATGAAAATTTCACTGAAATATGACAAAGCATCTCCAAGTTATCATTTAAAATTAAGAAAAACTCGAACTTTAAGGCAAAAGGGTCAAAATATATACAAAAAAGAAAGCGTCAGTTACATCGAGATGCCCCCGGCGTCAGTTTAAACTGACACATTTTTCTGTATATATTTAAACTATAACTGTAAATATCTAATATCTAAGATTTTTTTAAAATTACGTGGGGTATATTTAAAAACGACAAAATTAAATATATTTGTGTGTGTGTGGGGGTGTGTGCGTGCGTGTGTACGTATTAAAATCAATAAGTTCATTGGTTAAAATAAAAAAGAACCGTCAACGTTATCACCTTCAATGTCAATGCCCTCAATCCAACGTTTACCATTCATCAAATAGGATAAAAATATTATACAGTAAACAAAATTTCAAATCAAAATTCAATAACACTGTCAGGCTACGGACTTATTGATCCACTCTCATATATACGCTTTTGATGGAAAAGCAATTTATTTTATAAAATACCCTTCTCTTGCTTTGTTAATGCACTTTAAGGTGAAAATTATTCACATTAATTGAACATTATACATTGAATATCTCAGATCAAAATTTATTTATTTGTTTTTCTTTTTTCCCCCCGGAATTCTCTGTTTATTTGTTCAAATATATGTCAATTTATTCCTTTCTTCAACTCTAGGCGGGTGTGCAGGTGGTGCAATAAACACCGGCCCGGAATGAGAACTCGGTCCGAGTTCAAAATCCAGTCAAGTTCATTACATTCACTTACGCACAAGTACACTCGGGAAAGATATGAATCCTTCTCTTATCTCAGCTATGGGTTAAATAATAGACATGTATCTGGAAAAAATCATTTTTATCCTCAAGAAATTGTTAATACAGTATTCACTTGGAAAAAAAAATATTCTTACAATCCAAAATATTTTCCGGTTTTAAATCACCCAAAAGTGTTGAAAAACCGTAAAAAATCCTAAATCGATCAACCCTACATGTACGTCTCTCGTATATGATAATACGCATCTTCACTTGAATCATTTTACTGTTTATAGCATTCTGCAGTATTTTCCACTGATATTATGAAGACAATAGTCTTACTTGTTATTACAGGAGTACTTGGAAGAGCGAACATTTGAGACAGAGTTGAAATTATCAACAGGAAAAAAAAAATTATTCAAACGAGCAGTAATAATTATTGAAATGTTGGCATTTTAGGGAGACATCATCTTCATTTATCAAGGCTCACTTTTCTACCCCAAATATTATAATTTCATAAATCTATCAAATGCAGAAGAAACTTGTTGAATTGACCCAAAGAAGAAACATGGATGAAATAACAGTAATATTCGATATAACATCCAACAATATTTTTCTTCATATTCCATGCTGGAAGTGTGGGGAGACGGCCATATATGTCTGTGAATTTTGTACACTATCAAAAATGGTACTGCTAGAGCGAAAAATTAATACAGTAATGAATAAAGGAATTACAATTTTGTCCGGTTTCCGGGTAGTATTCGATAAGGAGAAATTTTTAATTGCTTTTTCAGGCACTTTTTTTCTTTTCTCGCGTACATTCTTTGACTTTCTTTTTTTATTCCTATCTATCTATCTATCTATCTATCTATCTATCTATCTATCTATCTATCAATATCTATCTATCAATCTATCTAGCTATCTATCTAATTCTGTTAATATCTATCTATCTATCTATCTATCTATCTATCAACATTCATCTATCAATCTATCTAGCTATCTATCTAATTCTGTTAATATCTATTCATTCATCTATCTATTCATCTATCTATCTATCTAATTCTGTTAATATCTATCATTCATCTATCTATCTAATTCTGTTAATATCTATCTATCTATCTATCTATCTAATTCTGTTAATATTCATTCATCTATCTATCTATCTAATTCTGTTAATATATCTATCTATCTATCTATCTAATTCTGTTAATATTCATCTATCTATCTATCTATCTAATTCTGTTAATATTCATCATTATCTATCTATCTATCTAATTCTGTTAATATCTATTTATCTATCTATCTATCTATCTAATTCTGTTAATATTCATTATCTATCTATCTATCTAATTCTGTTAATATCTATCTATCTATTCATTCATCTAATTCTGTTAAATTCATTCATCTATCATCTATCTATCTATCTATCTAATTCTGTTAATATCTATCATTCATCTAATATCTATCTAATCTGTTAATATCTATCTATCTATCTATCTATCTAATTCTGTTAATATCTATCTATCTATCTATCTATCTAATTCTGTTAATATCTATCTATCTATCTATCTATCTAATTCTGTTAATATCTATCTATCTATCTATCTATCTAATTCTGTTAATATCTATCTATCTATCTATCTATCTATCTATCTATCGTATTTCTATTCATATGTATTTATCCTATTCATATCTATCGATCCCTGTCTATTCATATCGATCGATCGATCTATCTATCCTCCGTCTATTCATGTCTATCGATCGATCGATCTATTTATCTATCTCCGTCTATTCATATCTATCGATAGATCTATCACTTTCAGTCTGTTTATATCTGTCTATCTATCTATCTATGTCTGTTCAGATTCATCTATCGATTATTTGGTAATAATACATTTTAATTTAACTTTAGGGATTCTCATATTTTAGTACAATTTATATAATGACTATTCACACATACAGAACGTCCAAATTTTCCCCAGTGCTGTAAATAAAACAAAAGTTAATGCTTTGCAACGGTGTCCGAAATCGAAACCGTTACCCATATTCTAGGCACATCTATCAGTTCGTATCGAGACTTTTCACGGCGTAACTAGACATTGAGATATTTCAACACTTTGTAACTAAAACTATTTGTGAGTAATTTTTTTTAATCATTCTGGTCAGGAAATTAATTCTTACGTAAGGAGTTTTTCCGTGCACATGAAGCATTCATCCACATTTTTTTTAAATACTGTCACCCTCACCTCACCTTTTCTCGCCATGTTGCGACAAGAAAGACACTGTGACTATTTTTGAAGCACCTCCACT